ATGATACTGCTTGGGTGCCCAGACCGAAGTAGGTGGTTTTCTTAAGGGACCAGACCCGGAGCCTTTGACCTAAAGGTCTAATCCACAAGGAAATGGAACAACGTCACGAGATGCAGTACCATGGTAGCCAGTGATCAACAATAGGTTCAAACACCATTTGTCCCTTCAAGATACTGGATCCCATGTGCACCAGTGGTTTGGAACCAGGGATTTCCAAATTCCCTAGGTGGATCCTCCATATCCACCAATCCGTTTGAAGCCTCTGTCGGACATTCGCTTTTTGTCCTCTCTATTTCGTAAACAACACCCATGATGCGAGAAGGCAGTGAGTAGAACTTCCCTGGCAGTGGTTGTATGCACGCGGCCAATTGAGAGCATTTCGAGAGGGAGCGCTGACTCTCCCTACTCTCGGCCGTACCAAGGCATTTGGAGGTAGGAATGTTAAATCCCCAGAACTGATTTAATAAATGTCTTAGTTTTGCAATTTTATATTGCAAATTTGAATTTTTTGTTTTCGCGTCAAAGGCACCCGTTTTCACCTTCATGTAGTATTTCCCACTTGGGAGGACTTTAAATGTCATTGGTTCGTTGTCTCTTTTAATATGCTATTTTGTATTGTTTCCCTAGGACATTTTTATGCTGTATATATACGCTTGAGTTGTGCTTGTTGTTGTCGTTCGTGCTCCTGACGGCTTGTGGAATATACTTCCCTATTCTGAACTCGAACTCCTCTCTCTAGTCAGTGGGACTGGGACGTATTGGAATAATTAGCTGGTTTGATCATTCTGTCACTGAGTATTCGTTCTGTCCGCAAATTAGGAGAACTAGTGATTACATCAATCATAGCAGGTTTGAGTTCCACTCTACTCTACCCATATCAGTTTAGGCAAATGAGGTAGCATTGCTAGACTTAAAACCCACCGACATTAGGTCCCTCGAAGGTCCAAATATACAAACATGTACTTGATGAATAAATTCCATAGATAATGCAGTATTATCGTGACGACGACAAAAAAGGTGATTGGAAATAAACAACTCTGTGAAAAACATATCGTCAATATAGAAGTGGAAAATCGTTTACCTGAACAAGAGACTCAATTCTATCATATTCAGCAATTAAATCTTTATCATCCCAACATGCTTCGTCGTCTGAATTAACATCCACTAATGGCCAGATCTGCTTATTACTGACGTTGGGAGAATCCATGAAGACCATTAACAAAAACGATCTGAAATGAAAAACAATCTTAATATTCTCTCAGTAACTATAATAATTTATGTTTAAGTGAGGGGATACAAATTATAGAAAATATATTGAACTGAGACAAATAACCCATTACGTCATAAGTAGAGTAAATTCACAAGATTCAATAGATTGGAAAGAAGCACTAGGTCGGCGTCCAGTAGTTTGAATTTCTAACTTAAATTAATTTGCGACACTGTATAACTATCTTTCAATGCCACTGGTGAGTATGTCTTACACTCTACATAAATAGGGAAGCCCACTAGAAATCCGTGAATTACTATTAAAAATTAGTTACTAGTGTGCACATGTGTTATGACGATAAAGTACTTATGAAGACTTGAATTATGGACTGATCTAAGTAAAATGACTAAGTTTTAATAGACAGCTGCTTAGTCTTAGGATCAAACTATTCATTATTGTGAACCTATGACCCTACCAGTAATCGAACCACGGAATTTAAAAACTATGTTGTAAGGTCCATAGATGATGCATGATTGTACAAGGTACGGAAAAGAGCATCCTTTTTTAATCTTCAATAAAACTGCATTATAGCATTTACGAGCATTTTTCCGTTCATTTCGTGCGTCAGTGTTGCATATGAGTGCAGTTCTCACTACTAGTAACTACAATTTGATCATCTGAACCTATCTACATATGTCATCTGTAAATACGCCCACTGTAGACCATCTCAACGTACAAGTTAGAGCTTGAAATGAAATTCCCCATGAAAATTGTCCTCTTATGTGTCATTACATAAACGAAAAAAGTGCTAGATATATCACTCACATATTGAATAGTGACAAGTAGATAGGCTACAAATTCAAAGACATAGTATACTATCTCTACAAGTAGCCCTATATAATACATCTCACAATAATGATAATTGAATAAACATAGTACAAATGTAATCAACTTCAGGATGCTTTACAATTCAATAATAGGAGTCAAATTGGTTTGACAATATTTAACGAACAAGGTTGGTTTTCAGCTCATTAATTATAATGAACTATCAGTCTGATACCAAATTCGAGTCCGTTCAAGTTCTCAAGTTAAACTAAAATGCCGACACAAAACTATCAAGATGAAAAGTAATAGAGATCGAAATCATGTAGTAGTAGTAGTAGCAATGATAATAAAGATGACTGAATATTAAGAATATGATTCAATAAGATGAAATGAAAAGAATATTGAAACTGAAGATCTAAGGTAAGATAAAGAAAGAGTGATTGAATCTACGCAACCATAATCGATTTTAAAGCATATCCATTCGCGATTGATATCATAGTTTGTCATGAATTCACTAATGGATAACTTCAATGGTTCAGTTAAAGGATTACAGACAATATGAGTGATTTGATAAGCTAAAAAGAAGCATTACATACAAGCTTGACAAGATGGATCATAAAATATGTAACGAAATTAGACATTGAATAGTTAATTATCCATCTGAATATACTACTTAATTGATGAAATAGACACAATATGTATAATCCAAATATTATTATATCAATCCAATTCAGATTTACTAGAATATGGGCTTAAACACACTAAAGATTTTCAAGTATTATCACTAAACAACAATTTTGTGCACTACTACTAACAAGTAATTTGAACATCCAGTAAGATATTGGGTTGAGATAACATTTCTCTGATACACAAATTCAATGGTATGCATATGGTCAAGTAACAACTTCACAATCTAATGTTTGACTTTTTATCACAATGTGAAAACAAACATTGAAAAACTCAACATCAAGCATCACGAAAAAGCACATTAACAAACCTCCACTTAACAACAAGTTAGTCATGTTGACTGTTCATCTTACTAGAGATGAGTGGTAAAGGGAGATATGAAATGTTGTGAATTGATTAAAGGTTGAGGTTTTGCTGGTCCAGTGGTTCAAAGAGTAAACATTTGCAGTGAGACCAAAGTGAATGAGCATGGGTCGAGGAGTCCTATACTAAGACCAAAACAGCTTTCCAGTGATTATATTTTTTAAGCGCTGTCTAATTTAAGTCGGTTCGTGGTATTATTAATCACATTGAATAATAATAACAAACTCCCTGTATAGATAGACAATTACGAAACTGGATTTTACAAACTAAAACTATGAATTGGGAATATTTTCGAGTTATTATCTTCTACGCTATCCAATTTTGTAATACTAGTAATTAATAAGACTCATTTGGCTTTGGGTCATTTAATGATACAACTTAGTGAGATTCGAAATTGTGACGTACAGATTAAAAGTCAAGTTCTTCAACTACAACTTTATCATCATGCTCGTATAACCAACACAATTTTCTTTTTATTATTATTAATCAACTTAAATATACACCACACCCACCCACCCACACACACACACACATCAATAAATGAATTCACTAAAAACACAAACAGTAACTGTAAAAAATTTAGTTACTATTAAAAGAAGAAGAATAAGACGATAGAATAATTTCTTTTATTACTAATCATCATCGTTTTCCTTTTTTTCTTCTTAAGTAACTATGTGTAGGTATCTATGCCTATGGAAATGTACATCATACACAATAGAAAACTACACATCAATTCTATATAGTTTACAAGTATTCAATCCAAAATGATGATTAGATAATGAAAACAATTTGATGATGATGATAATAATAAGAATAATACAAGAAAGAAACTAATATCAAGTGATTAGAAATAAGTTGAATAACAAAACTAAAAAGAGAGAAAGTGAATAAAGAAGACAAGAGAAAAGAAATTCTAAAGTAAAAAAGAAAAACAAGCAGAAATTACATACAAAAAATGTGAATAAAGAAAAAAAAGAAGAGAAAATTAAAAAGAAAAAGTAACGTTTTTCCTGATGATTTAGATATTAGTCATACTCTTATTATGAAATACTATCCGGTTGACCAAAATAGAAAGAATGAAAATAAAGAAGGACTTGAACAAGGAGTTCAACTGGATGAAACTCGAATGTTTTTAACAAACGTGTTACAACTATAAAAAGTACCATTCAATAAAGTAATAGAACGAAAAAATGACAAGATATGTTTATTGTATCCAGTTATGATTACAAAATCAATTTATTTTATAAGAATGAAAAGAAAAAAATAGTGAAATAGAGAGAGAAAGAGAATTGAAGATGATCAATAAACATATAATCGGATACAATTCTCATTGTCTCTTTATTTACCACCCCGCCTCCCCCCCCCGAAAGATACTACTATTATTGCTGATAGTAGTATTACTAATTAAATAAAATAAGAGAAAATCAATTAGATAACTATGTGTATTGTATTAATAATACTTTAAGGTAATCAATCATGATGTAATTTCAATAATTGAGATCAATAAATCAATTGTAATTAGATCATCATGAGAAAAACTTGAAAGTACTGGATGGTTGTTGTTTTGTTCTATTGTGAAACTCCAGTAGTTTGATGGTCTATAGTTTCAATGGATTTATGATCTCAACTATTGAAATTACTAAGAATATCCACACAGAAACCCCATTTGATACTAATCATTATTGATTAGAATTCATGTATTTTTAAATATTCACATAAGTAACATACAATGTAGAGTAGTATAAGATAGAAATGAAAATGTAGAAGGAAAAAAATGCTAATAGTCTTTGTACATATATATTATCTGTTGAATTTATTCAATAATAACAATGATTAATATACAATGGATTGAATTTTCACGTCACCAGATGAAGCTGATGATGATGGTTGTGAAGGAATTTCAGTGATTAGATTATTGTTATTGCTGTTGCAGCAGCTGCTGTTACTACTACTAGTATTATCATTATAACAAGACTGTAAATTAGATGTTGATAGATTATCAGTATTCGATACATTCGATTTATTTCTAGAAGTTGATAATAAATTAAATTTTTTATGAAAACGATTATTAGATTGTATTAATACTTTTCTAGATGGTGTTATTATTGGAGTACGTGGAATAGCACGACGACGTAAAGATATTCTACCATATGGAAAATCATTTTTTTGTAAACATGGACTATTTGGTGCTGATTTTGACAAAAGACAATCTATAATATGAAGAATAGAAGAACAGAGAAAACAATTATAAGTTTGATAATAATAATAAAATGTTATTCAGTCAGTCAATAACAACGTAGGACTTCTTAAGTACATACATCAGTTCAAATTGCCGTACCACGTTAGCACAAAGATACAATTGTCGATTCGAATCCCATAGTGATAGAGATAGTAAAAGTATAAGCAGTAATCGGAAACATTGGGGTTTGAAAATGTTATTCAAGGAGTATAATCCAGTGAAATGAATTTGGAAAGAGGAAAAAACAAGGGACATGAAGAATTCAGAAGATTAGAATTTAGGAGATTACAAAGAGTGAATGCACTTGTGCCTTTGCAAACGATTTTCAGTCATGTCATTCAGGGTCTCTAACCATCGGTTGCTATCATCTCGCGGTCCCCAACCAGGTAGTTTACACTTACCAGCATGGCTCAGTTCACTTGTCAGTGACTCCAAGGACTGATGCCACGTTTTGGTTTGACCGCCCCTAACTTTCTTCTCACTATCTCCAACACCGATTAGCATTGCACGTCGTGGGAATCGGTGTTCAGGCATACGTAACACGTGACCCAACCATCTCAGTCGACGAAGATTCACAAACTTATCAACTGATTTACCAACATTCCCTAGTACCCTGTGTCTAACCTCACTATTGCTTATCCGGTGATCCCAGCTTTAAGCAAACAATATAAATATAAATATAACTAATGACATGAGAAACAATGAATCATGTGAAAATAGCGTAAAATGTATACTCTGAAAAATCATTTTAAAGAAAAGAATATTAAAAGTGATTTGAACAATTTGGATTGTGGCTAGTGGGATCTAACTGTTAGGTTACAGATCCGAATCCTGTTTCATTTATTCCAGTTCAGGTAACCGGGTAGTTTCACTAGCTATCATGCATAAAGTGTGGCTCAAAGTACTATGTACAGGGTTCTGTGCTTGGTGAATTGCGTGGGAAAATATTAGTGTGGATGAAAACACAAGAAAACGATATATAGTAATCGCATAACAACAATCATTAAACAAATCACCTTTATTATCGGCATTCATAATAGAAGTAACAGGCCAACAAGTATTTGATTTCGCATATTCAAACTCATTGGGGACTTCAGATAATTGCTTAACACTTGAACTGGACTTAGTCACATCGCAAACAACAGGATCTACTGTTAAGATATGCTTAAGAATGCTATCAACATTTTTTGGATGATTATTTCTCATCTCCATTGGAAAATTATCACCGTCACATGATCCTGTGGTATCAGCTGAACGTGATCTTCGTCGATGAATGATTATTGTCACAGATTGAGAATCCTTATTGATATTATTATCATTGTTATTAATTACTGAAATATCCAATAATGAATCATCATTTGAAATTCCAGTTGTAAAACATGATCTAGGTGCTTCAGGAATATCACTAGTTGTAATATAATTATCATCCTGTGAAGCACATTCTGTAAGTGGAACTTTTGGAATATACATCGGACCTGATTGTTTACTAAGGGGTGTTTGTTCGTTATTTGTCAATCGATTCCGATCACGAGTAGATTTTGGAGTGTTATTGGGTGATTCTTCATCTGGTGACAACGTCTAGAATGGCAATTTTAAGGAAAATAACCCCACTCATAAGAAACAGATGGTGGGAATATTATTTTAAATCAAAAAATGAATGATATGAAAACATGAATTACTAATAAATTCAGATGCGTTGTCGATGGAGATTTATCACAATTACAGACCGTTATCAGTCGTAAAAGTATTGGAAGCTAGGGAGGATCTGATGGACGTTTAGTCTAAGTTTGTAGTTTTCACCTCGATGTGGTGATCAGGCTTGAATATCATGATAATCCAACCGAGGTACATTGACTAAGACACCCATTCCTTTATGACCTACCATACTTTCAGGTCAGAGAGCGGTAAGAATAAAAGCTATAAATTTATGGTTTGGAGGTGAAATCTCACTGCTAACTGTGCTGGGGTGTGAAGTCAATAAGGTGTTCCCCTCAATCACCATCTATAACAACCGTGAATTCGCACAACGCGGATTTAGTAAACGTCTCCACTAAGAGCAGTGCACCTAAACTCTTACATGGACTACCGTGCAAGTGCCAAGGTGTTAAATGTAAGCTACCTCACCAAAAACCACTTACAGAAATCTTATGTGACCGACCTCATACAGTTGTACAACTTCTAATGGCGTCAACGACAACAGATGGATTTAGTTAAAGTTCTAGACTCGTTATTTTTTTCACTGGAAAGCCGACATTGATTTTCTTTTATAGGATTATTACAAGTCAATTTTGACATATAATTATTTTGTAATCATGTAAAAAAGACTTAGACTGTTTTTTTTTAACCATTGATTGAGAAACGTCTAATATTCGAAAAGTATATAATTAAATTGTTACCCAGAACCATCAGTTTTATCGTTATGACCGAATCCAGTAAATATGTCAATTTCAACGAAAAATCTACTAGGTCGAAGAGTAGTAGACGATAACCAATTGAGTGAAAATGAGCAATTACATAATATTCCACAATTAAAGAACGATTTCATCTGCATTAAGAACAAATTATGGTGAGTAGAGTAAGAATCTTTCAATAAAATGCCATAAGATGAGACTATAATTCACAGAATCCTTCTGATATTTGAAACTATCACTAGAGTTTTATCAGAGATTAAAACTGGTTACAAAATGAAACATGCCATTTATCGCTTCCTATTAATTAATACAGTTCCTTAAATCCACTACTGCAGCTGGGGATGAGGAAAATCCAATCCCCCTCTTGAAATACTCTTATGTAGTCATACATTCATAACCACTGCCGACAAAGTCCTATTCACCTAGTTCACGTAGGATGGGTGCTTTTTACATGAGATAATGAAGAGTGAATGTCCGGAGATTGAACTGAGTTGATGAGTACGGAAGGTTCACATACGGATGTTGGAGAAGCCCGAATTTAAAACAACTATATTTAGTCGTCAGGATCTTGAAGGAGTTAATGCGAGTGAACTTATTTCTGATCACCAGCTGCCATGAGACAAAATCTCCTGATGTTGTTTGACTTTTTTGTAGATAGGATCTCTGAGTTCAAGGTTCAGGAAGTACCCTCGTAATAAAACCACTTGCTTCACTTTGGGCACCCGGGGTAATGTTCTAGCCTTTACGAAAAAACTAGGATACTATTTTTGGAGCCAGATTTCATGTGAATCAAATGAATAAATGATCTCCAGTTATCAATGGATTTGATTTATTTTTGTTTTTGATAAATTTCAGATGATACACGCATAACTCTGACAAGAAAATAAATGTTTTACTCTGTAAGTAATTCTAACAACACTGGCTCGCAGATTCTCCGCATCATTACTCCATCTAATTTCATCTTGGTAACCACTAAGTAATAGTAATAACTAACCTTAGTAAAAATTGTTTAACAAGTTGCATTACGATCACTAACACATGTAACACGGATTTTTACCACATAATTAGTTGATGAAAGTTTGTGAGGCGACAAAACCAATAGACAATAATACAGTTGTGAAAATGAACGGAGGATATGATTAATTACATACTAAAAGTCATTTCTTGCAGAAAACTAGCATACGCGAACCGAAGTTGTGGTAACGCCTCAGACCGTAAACTGAGTGATGCGAATTCAAATCTGTCAAGAAGTATCAGCTACACCAAGACTGCAGGTACGCCTTAGTAACGTGTCAATAAGGACTAAACATAAGGCCTAAGGTTTTCTGTGGAATACCTTTACCCACCTAACACATTGCCGTTCGTTTCGTGTTACATAGTATATAAATGAAAAAGCTAGGACTTCGTCTCTTTGTCGATATAAACAACACAACACTTCTATAGTTGAACATGTTTATGTATAAATACAAAATTTTCGGTTTAAATAAATTAACAGAAAAAACAAACTGCTCACTAGATCGATTATCAATGGAGAGCCAGAAAAGCTAAGAGATGGGACGACAGAATTTTGTACAACTTGATTATCAGCACTGTTATTATGATTTGAAACTAAACGACTTCTTTTCAAAGGCTTGGAACATGGACTATGATCCGACCAATTATCTTCGGTTATATCTATAGGAGATATATTGTAGTCCTTTATGTGTGTTACATCTGTACATGAAGTTGAAAGAAACTGATTGTCCAAAGATAAGTTCAATTGTTGGGCTGGTTCAGAATATTTATTACCGGACGAAGAAATAGGACTATTTGGTGACATTGTCATTGTTTTGGAACAGTCTAAACAGAGTGAACAAGCACCGTTCGGAGTACTAAGCACTGCTTCTGACATATCCAGTGGGGATTTAACAGGCTGAACAGAATTATCACTGGCCAACTAGCAGTAAAATTGAAAGGAAACATTATTATGATACATAACCAACAAATAAGCATGAGAAAAGTTAAAACGAGACAAATGTTTGTGTAAAAAATACAATAAGTCTAAGTGTCACAAAGCATTTTATTCAAGTTAAAGACTTTGATTAGTTTGAGAATGATTTCCGTGGTCAAGTAATCTTCGTAAATATTTATATGAGTAAACGAAATGCAACCAACAAATCTTCGTTTGTACCAGGTGCAATGTTTTAACTTTGTACCGTGCAAATTCCAGTGGTTACCGTACAAACAGCAGGACCGCGGATACAAGGTCGCCACATACATAACAGATGTGACACAGACAGAACAAACATGAATATGACAGAATTACATTGTTTAACTTGCATACACAGAAACAATAGCACTGACGGTTAAAAAGTTTCTTAATTAATCACAACAATTCTGATGTATACTGGGATGAAAAGATAAGCTCATAATGACATGACAGACGATGAAGTTCTCACTATGTTTGGATGAAGAATAAAAATTAGCATTTCCCAATGCAACAAAGTATCCAACAGAAGACGCACCATCAGGGAGGGCGACTGTGTAGATGAAAATTTTCTGACCATAGGTACCTTTAAAGCATTATTAACATTTCGTAGGCAATGTTACGTTTAGGGATATGGTACCAGTCAAATATGGCAAATCGGTTGACGAGACTATGAATCGTCGACTGAAATGGTCGACATATGCGTTACGTATCCTTAAACACCATCTGCCTTGACATGGGATGTTTTTTGATATGGTGATAGGTTAGAAGAAACGTAAGGACGGTCGAACCAAAGCATGACATCAGCCCATAAAGTGGTTGATTGTTGAAGTGGACCAAGTTGATGGATGCACTCTACTTGGCAGGGGTGCATTTGTTTGCCACGATTAGCAGTTAGTGTTGAGTGACATGACTCGGAATAAGTCACAATGGTACATATCTTCCATTAAATCCTGGGTTTCTCATAGGCTAAATTCATTCATTTTTTGACTATATTTTTAATGTCTGGTGTTTTTCACTATTATCGTTGATACAATTAATTCAACTCCTTTGTTACCAATCAGTTGGATTTTAGCTTTTCGTTCTGATATGATATTGGGACTTGAGCTGATGTGAATTTGCATCAGGCTCTATATTGATTATGACTAACTAGAGTTACAAGAATACATGAGTCACAACAGGGTTCAGACGAGGTCTCCGCGTTATTGAATACAGCAGTTTAGGAATCGCAACACGACCAAGTTTATATTCATTGGTCACATAAAAAATACAAAGTGTTCCTAGTTAATCCCCAAAACTGCCCAGTTAGGTTTCCTAGTTTTACTCCAGATTAACTGAAGTACACAATATTAGATGTTACAGAGCCTTTTTTCAATCCCAATCATAATACTTGAACACGAAACTCGCACTAACGACGAAATAGGTCTGATAAAAACAGAATAATATCCTATCAACTTACACGTGCCAATACATGTTGAGTATGTGTACGGACTTGTTCACGAGAGAACTCATTACGACCATTTGGGTTGCGACAACCGTTGGCTGCACAAGAACAAGGAAAGGATGCTCGATCAACCTGCATTATGACAGAACGAAAAATAACGAATTAATAATCTGTTTCCTACGATCCGATGCCAGTTGATACCGAACAAAAGTTAGAAACATATTTGTTGTCTTTTGAGATAGTTTTTTTCATTAAATCATTGGTAAATAATCCTAAAGCCACGATAATTTTGGAAGTCAATAGTGAATTCTATGGGATGCAGTTATACTGTTTACAGTATAAGTTTAATGTGAATGATACAGCACATTTTCCATAATACACCATAAAACAGTTTATCAAGTTCATGTTGAACTGAGAGGTAGTTACAAGTGAAGTATTTATTTAAGTGCTTAGCAATTCTTAATAATGTAATGATGATAGTAGTAGTAATGAAATGAAGTATACTTGTATGAGTGCTGGTGGCGCTAGCAGACAGCTTTATACAAAGAATATGAGACGAAAATTTTGACCTGAAATTCATTGAGTTGAAGCCGAATGGCAAAATTATTGTTTTACCGTTTAACTAGTACTAATGGGCTGTTAATCTATACATATTTGCAATGATTATAGTAATATTAATCCCTCTGACTTGAATAAGGTTAGTTCCACTTAAAAACAAACATATTAACTCAGCTACAAAGCAAAACTGAACTAAAAAACATGTTAGCTGAATATTATCAACTTCTCACAAATCACCATCATCATTATAAGAATAGGTATTTTATTTTACTTTACCATAATGATAAAAGTATTTTCGTAAAGTAGTTTCCTAAATGCTCTCGAATTACAAGCTTCGTGTGTTTTACGTCTTTAATACAACTACAGTTCTTTTGCCTTTATGATACTTGAGGAATGGACTACTTATCAGTTAACATTCTTACAGATTATTAACAACTAATATGGTTTTACAGGGTTGAAATATGTTGATTTTAAAAAACAAACGAATTCATTACTTAAATGAAGCAGTATGTGAACGCTACTCTGTTTAATAATTTGAATAGAGGAAAAAAACATGCCCATATAATTTTTCACGTGATCCAAACTAATAAATCATATAAACACTGTGATGATAAGTCAAACTAGCTATCACGTAAAAGTAACTAGGTTAGGTTCAGTAATAAGCAATTAGATTACATTAACTTTACCTGACAAGGAATTCCATCATCTGCGCATGAGCATTGACCAGGTATACATGAATTCTTCGGACCACAGTTGCAACCAACACGGGAGCGCATAGCCCGTATAAACGAACACACAAGACGTTCGGATTCATCAATTTCCACAACACCTAAAGTGAAGGTATGTGGAGAATATTTGTAATTTAAGGGAAATATCATAGTGACATTCAGAGTTTTGAAATAACAAAAACTATATGTTATTACCAAATTATTAGCACTCACCCGTTCCTAACAAGTTCCGACTTCAGGAATAGGGAGTAACGTTTGACCCGGCTACCTGACTACCTTACCAGTGGACATAAGTGAATTAAAGTGCTATGTCAGCTACCACTTTGAAAGGAAATAATTGAAAACTGATGTTGCTTGTGGGAAAGTTAAGATTCCGACCGTGTATTAGGTACATAAATGGCTGAGTCCCACCGAAATCATAAAATTTACAATACGATGATATCCATAAGTTTATTTTGGAGGCCAATTAATTATGATGTTTTCAAACTGATCAATAGTAAAAAATGTATCTTGGTAGATCCCATATATGAATCAAAACGAATCATACGCAAATCGAAGCTAATTTTACCAAATGAAGGGTGGTAAGCAACGAAAGTAATATGGACCGAAGAGGTATTGATGATGAGACTTTGCAAAATTATCAAAAATAATGACTCTGATAGTTGATGAAATTAGAGCACAAAAAGACAAATCAGTGACTCACTTCAAGACTAACTAGACCGATGGACAGAACACTGAGTATTTTTGGCTGAGTTCAAACTGCCTTTTCAGCAGTCTATCCATATCGAACCTTCATATTTCTAGCAAAATTAAAACTATAACTTGAAGCAAGAAAGTAGATCACAAGAAGTTATCTTAGTATTTCGAGAGCACCATCTAAATGGCCAAAACTCTAGTCTGAGTATCCAGTTTGAACGCAATTTCATGTAATTAGTCTCAAGCGTTATGATTTATGAGCAAGGACTAAATATTTCTGTAACAACCACAAACAGATCAGTGTGTGACCCGTGATTGCTCAACATTTAAATAAGAATTGCAACCAGAAAAGCAAAAGAATCAAATTATCTTTTAAGCCTGACCATGGTTACATAGGACTAAGGGTTTGATAACACAAATTATCACAAAGTGTAATCACTAGTTCACAGATTTGGTAAAACTAAAGGCAGGGAAGCAAAGTGGTACATTTCTGTTGCACTAATTTTCTCGACACAAAACCTGTATGTGAGTGCAGAACAAATAAATTAACAGTATCAACAACGTAAAATCGGTCAACTTCAGCAGTGACAAATTAGTCAGCATTAATTGTACAATTAATTTCTTCAACAGAAATTTACCAAGTTTATAGATTATGAAGCCGAAATCTACTATTAACATGTCAGAGGCTTGACACAGTCACTCAAATCGCTCCGCTAAATCATCTTACGTATATGAGGTTTTGTAAATGACAACATTAAAAGCTATCATAGTAAAACATATGCGAAGACAAGAGACAGATCATAAACACTAAGTAAATACTTACCGGATGATCTCAAAAGTCTTATTCTTGCAGCTGAGTGTATAGGCATCAACTTTTCTCGCGAATTATTTTGTGTACGTTTAGATGAGTTTACAGAAGGAACATAATCAAGAGAAGCTTCAGAGTCTGTATCCAAAGAATCAAGTGAGTTGCATATATTGTTGTTGACTAAAGATTCATCCAAAGTGTGGAGAAACCTTCTTGGTGAAGGAGGGGACAAACAAGGTGGAGGAGGAGTAGCGTGAGAACTAAGAATAGCGTTGTCTGTTTGATCGACAGAATTAACCTTGTCGTAACTGATTTGCGGAGACAGTAGTGGAGGTGGTGACAAAATTGGTACACGACATGAATCACCGGGACTACGACTACATAGTCCATTTGCACGCTTACCTTTTCCTCTAATCTTATTCTTGCCACGTCCGCGACCAGATATATTGGCGACAAACTGACATTTTTGGGAGAACAGTTTTTGTTGTCTGCGTCGGAGTTTCTGTAAAATTCTATGCTGCCGAAGATCTAGCCGAGAAACACTAAAGTGTTTTTGCGCCATACCAAGAGTGCACCAGCCATTGTCAGGAATCGATGAAAAGCCTTGTTGACGTGCGAACGAATACACAGTAACACCAGAAAATCTAATAGACTTTCCAACATTATCCTTGCATTTGCTTTTTTCTTCATTGGTATGACAAGTGCTATTATGAGGAGGAGGACACTCCTGTGAAAGATGTGTTGTGGAACAGCAACTAGATGACTGTACCGAAGGAGAACACGATTCATGATCGGTCTGCGAATTCAGGAGAATCTCAGTCTCATTGCTGGTAATCGATGTCTTATCAACACCGATCACCGAAACCAAGCAACAATCTGATTCAACAGTCGTGCGCATTTTTACGCTTAAAGAAAATGACGAGCCTTTTGTGTACAGAACGCCTGAGTCGACCCATTCAAAGTAGCCTCCACATATACTATTTGAAGTTGCAACGTGTTAGTACTATATACAATACCTTGTTTGCAGATCCACTGTCTTAATTTTCAGTTTCAGTTTTGAAAGGAAAGGAGGCTGAGTGGCCCGTGTTAAACATGGTGATGACAGTCCCTTACTTGATGTAACTTTATTTCGAATGGGTCGACAGACGGTGCTTCAATCACGCGTTGAGTTAATGAGTTATACAATGTCAGTAGCCAATAGGCAAGTAACTTGTTCTGGACTTGTGGACATTTTTAGAGTGTCCTCGTAAGTTGTGTTTTTCGAAAGACTGGAAAAATAAATTCATACCAAATAAAAATTTGTCACTAAGTAACTTAAAAACTATGATCGAGTCACCTTTGGTTTTTATATATGACTTCGGAAACACTGTTTAGTTGAAACAGTCGGTTATCGTACAAAGCTTCGCTATACCGAAAATCAGGTCGGTTGCGGTTTCAAGAAGTTATTTTGAAAACCCGCTGTCCCTCCTCAGGTAGAGTATAGTCGTCAGTGTCATCCTGAGTTCATACAACGGACAACACTGCCAAGTTGTGAATGACGGACAGCTGATAGATGCGTTTTAAGTGAGTGCCGGTGTTTGACAAGGCTGATTGTACTCTTCATTGCTTTATTTCTGTTATTTGACTAGATTATAAAGACCTCAATATCTGGGGGGAAGCATGGAATACAATGTACAGCTTACATACAACTAGACGATTTGAACTCAGATTGCTTGGCTCTCCCATCCCATAAATATCAAAAAATTCATGTCAGGACAAACAGTGCGACGAAAGTCTCCGCGTCACTAGCCCTCTACGTAAACAGGGGAGAATGCAAGATCCCCAAATACAACATGGAGAACACCAAACCCAATCACAGTTGTTGGGGAAACTATTTAAGAGGTAGAATCTTTCACGTAACTGGACAACATCGACAAACAAAGAGGATCTGATATAGATGTGAAGGCGATTATTGGTAAGGCAAGGGCTGCGTTCCTGCAACTGAAGAACATATGGGCCTCAAAACAACTGTCAGTTAACATCGAAATCAAAATCTTCAATACAAACGTCAAGACAGGGGCGAATTTATCCGAAACGCAACCATGTAAACTTTATGTATCGCGCAGGGTCATCTGTGCGTTCAAGTAACCACAGACTTTGTCATTTCATTATGTATTTTTAATTAAATAGCTAGTTAATTTTGCTCTGTTTTTAATTTTTATTCGGCACGTCCGACTGCGTTACACTGTACGTCCATTGCACGCTGGGACGATATCTCAAGTCATAGTGAGTTTATTCACATAGTTGATTGTTTCCAGATAAACTGTCAGTGCATGATTTTACTGAAGAAAGGTTTGTTGTACTGGGTTTCATAATCATTTCGAAGACATCACTGGTATCCACAGCCACTGGACACTCAGTATTAGTTTGACTGGTTGATGGAGTAGCGTGATCCATAATACTGCAGAAAATAACAAATCTTTCATTCTTCCTGATAACAATAAATAACAGCTAGGAACGAATATGCGGCCAGTTACAGTCACATGCGGCAACAACAATTATTTTAGCTAAATAAACCAAACTTCCGTTCTCCATATCTAAAAAACAATGCTCAGAATATAGCGGATTAAGATTTTATGACATAAGAAAAACAAAGTTGCCTGCCAGTTAGGAACGATTATGCCGATATTTCGAGTTCCATACAGCCTCAACACTTATTTAAGCTAACAAAACTAACCTTGGCTCCCGATATCTGAAAAAAAGAACTCAGAACAAAACTCATTAACACTTTATAACACGAGACTAGCCAGATTGCCGGAAGAAATACATTGACCTGAGTAGAAGCAGAAAAAATCAAGAAAAAATCGCTGATTCAAAATAAATTTCACACTAACATATAGAACATTACACTAACTGCGGCATTTTAGCACACCGAAACATTAAATTACATAGCTACACAAAAGAAATAGCTGAAAGAAGCACAGAACGAAGAAAGCCGACCGCGGTTGCTAACAAAGATGGCGGATATAATAATTCCCGCCTCATTCTGATTGGTTGCTAAGCTGGAGGGCACACTTACGAAATTGAGTTGCGTTTAATTGCAGCCTTAAGATACTCCTACTGTACGAAGCTGAAACATGGAGAGCTACCACAACCATCATCAAAATGGTACAGTTATTTATAAATAATTGTCTACATAAGATACTCTGTGTTTGTTGGCCAGATACCACTAACAGCATCATACTATGAAGAAGAAAAAACCATCTCACAGTTGAAGAGGAAAAATGGTGGAAGTGGATAGAATATACATTGAGGAAATTACTGAACTCTATCACGAGGCATCACCTAACTTGGGATCCTGAAGTGAAATGGAAAAAGAAAGACATCAAGTGGATGGAAGGCGGCTGGAAAAAACTGATAAGTAGTGCTTAATGCAGAGTTGCACGGAGAGTACTGATGGGCGTCCTATGCTAGTCGACGAGCTGTATCGGACGTAAGTAAGTAGCCGCTTGCGTGTAACACTGAAGTTTAGAGAGAACGTAGACTGCGCACAAGGTTAACAGGATTCTAGCATAGGCAAAGCAGGGTTCTAAAGTTTTATGGGCTGTCGCACGGCAAGATTTAGAAGTTTTCACGTATAGGCTGACTATGAAGCCCATGTTACCGGGATTCTGGATAACAGGTAGCTCAGTGTTACCCATTGTGTATATATTTATACCTTGGCGACCAATACACATCGCGATGCGCTTGGAAGCGATTATCTGCAACTGCCATATTCCAAACAAATCAGATGGTTTCTTCAGGTTTTTTTGAAGCTCTGAACCATCATCTTCATATTTTTTTTCGCTCTGCCTTTCTTGACATCGTCAGCTTATAACAAAACCGATGGTTATAGGAGAATAGGAAGGTCATTTAAATACAGGTGGGACAATACTGGCCTCAAAACTTTACTTTGAGTCACTCCGATAACCACAGTTTCCCAGTTAGACAATCTGGAGTCCACTTCTACACTTATTTGACGCTCTTTTATCCACATAAACAAAATGACCCCATTCCCCACATCACCTACATAGATGACAGCCGGTTTTGAGGAACGTTTTCAGAATCTTTAATGTAGTCAATAAAAGCCACACCGTTATGTAAATTTATTCATTTAGAGCACACCAAATCTCATGAGCTGACTTCTTTTCATATGGTATTATTTTATTTTCCTATTAGTTCTTCCCTTTAATTTATTATTTATTAGCGATAAATAATCCGTCACTGATAGGGTTCTATCAACTTGACACCTCATTTTGGAAGTTGACATCATACACCAATTTTGCTAGTTTTCACGATGTCTATCTCTTTTCACTAATTGACGGTAATATATTTGCCCTTAACTAATACTAGATCTGATCCTTCCGTAGAACTTTACACGTCTTTTAAGTTAAACTATAACTGTCGCTGTTTACTTAACTAAACTTTATGTTTACATTACATCAATATCTAGGCCACCTAAAAAAACATATAATCTCTCCTGATACCTATAGCCCCTGCAAAAGATCTAAATCAGTCAATAAAGCGAATAATGTGAAACCTTATAAACACACTGACCAGTCTGCATCCTACTCTGATCTTCCTTCAGCTACACAAAACGTGCGCAGTTTACTTGGGCATGACATATCATTACCTTGTATCTCGCTTGTAGGTAAAATAAGAGCAGTCACGTACGTTAGAGTCGATATCATTTGTCAGTCCAAACAAAAGCACAACATGTTGTGAGGAGTATTTAGACACCGCGGCTGACCCCAAAGTTTCACAACAGCGATCATAAATTAGTCCCCTGCACCCTCCCGATTCTTGCCATGTGCAAAAAATTAAAGATATTAAATACGCGTTTCCAACATAGAGACTATGCAAACGCTGACTGGGAAGACTTCCGATTTCTAATAAAGCGCTCTAACTGGAGTACTTTCTTTACCAGTGATAACCTCTTAGAAACACCAGAAATATTCAATACCACCACCAAATCTGCATTAGACACTACTATACCCTTTAAACTTGGTTTTAAAACAATTACTCCCTATATAAACCAAAAGACTAGGTCTAATCTACGAAAACTTAAAAGGATGTACTATATATCAAAAGACTTCGGTGCCCTGCACCAGATATACTCTGTACTTGACGGAGTACAAAGTCAACACAACAAGCATAAACAGGTAGAGGAACGTACTGCGCTCACTGCTGCATCTAAAGCTCAAGCCCTATGTCGTCTCCTCACGAAACGCATAAGAAAGAACACAGACCACAACATTCACTCCTTACTGCACGATGGAGTGACGTATAATGACCAAACCGTCATATGTGAACTATTAAGTGGATGTTTTTCCCACAATGAGAATACATCTCATGCTCCAGATATGAACATAAAGTGCATCAGCAAAAACTATTTTAGTACCATAAACTTTGACATTAGAAGTATACATACCGCCATTAAAACCCTTAAGCCAAATGCGAGTTCTGGTGCCGATGACATCCATTCAATCGTTTATAAAATGTCAGAACCGGACATACAGACGCTACTACTCAAAATATACACATTATCTTTAGAGACAGGTACATATCCCAAAACCTGGAAGGTAACGTATGTTCTTCCCAAACACAAATCGGGACCGAGAAACCTAGTCGAAAACTACAGACTAATAAATATCACTCCAGTTATATCACGCATAATGTAAAAAGTGATACAAAATCAATTATCTGATCACATACCTAAGGAAGATCTGATAGATCCGTCACAACATGACTTCATTAGAACAAAGTTGAGTAGTACATGTCTGATAAACTTCTTTGACGGGGTTAATCGCATACGTGACCAGAAGAAACTAGTGGTTATACTATATTTCTATATTAAGAGCGCCTTTGATAAAGTACCTC